GTGGGATAATTGTCCCATTAAAACTAGAATATCAAATGCACAGGTGATAGCTTCCTTCTCAAACCTCAAGATAGGCCTTAATCATAAAATTCTTCATCATGCTAATTGCTCTTGGCAATGGAAATAATTTTTAAAGGTTATCGTCAAGCCGATCCTGGTGATTCTCCAAAAATAGGTCATGAATATGGAATTCTATAAACAATTGATATGTCAAACTACTTACAGGACTATAATGACTGAAGGCTACATTTAGCTTTCTCCTTAACAAAAAAGACATTTTAAAGACTATTAACTGATAGGCTTTATCTACAGCGAGACTTTATTTGGACTTTATCTACTCCTGTCTCTAAGAATTTAGAGAGCTCCAAAGCTCATGGTCATTAAAGATGCCTCTAAAAAACTCCACCATTAACGTAATTTTTGAAGCTGCTCCCATTTTCCGGAGAAAAAGAATATTATAACGATTTATAGTGTAGTCGTTAAACTAACTGGGCTGAGCACAGTGGCTCCTGCCTGTAGTCTCAGCTACTCAGGCGGCTGAAACGGGAGGATTGCTTGCGGCCGGGAGTTCAAGGTTACAAGTGAGTTATGGTCATGCCTGAGCAGCAGAGTGAGACTCCATCTCTTAAAAAAAAAAAAAGAAAAAAGAAAATTGGCCTGACTCGTTGGCATGCGCTGACAGTCCCAGCTACCTGGGAGACTGAGGGCGGTGGATCGCTTATGCCCAGGAGTTTGAGGCTGCAGTGAGCTGTGGTTGCACCACTGGAATCCAGCCTGGGCGACAGAGGAAGAGCTCATCTCTAAAAAAATGAATAAATAAAAAAATCCATCCTCCTATAACCAAAAGCACCACATGACTAAAAACTACCCTAAGAAAAGCACAGAATAGCATTCTAAGCTGGATGCCTATAAAATCACTGTGGGACAGAGAAACGAATTTCCTCATGACTGCTCCATTTCTTCAATGAAAAACACTGGCCTTGGAGTGCATTCCTGAAGGGCTTTTTGATCACTTGCACTGGAGAGGTTGCTGCTCTGCA